TCGGCCTCCCAGAGTGCTAGGATTACAGGCGTGAGCCACCGCGCCTGGCCTGTTCTTTTTTATTTTTAAATTTTATTTATTTATTTTTAGAAATAGGGTTTCACTGTCATCCAGGCTGGAGTGCAGTGGACCAGTCATAGCTTATTGCAGCCTTGAACTCTTAGGCAGGAGGATTGTTTAAGCAATCCTCCCTGCCTCAGCCTCCTGAGTAGCTAGGACTTTAATTTTTTTATTTGTAGAGATGGGGTCTCGCTATGTTGCCCAGGCTGGTCTCGAATCCCTGGGCTTAAGCAATCTTCTCACCTTGGCCTCCCAAAGTGCTGGGATTACCAGCCTGAGCCACTGCACCTGGCCTGTGATAGTTCTTGTTATTAAGCATTCATGCATGAGAACCCTCCTTCATGGCCTTCCCTGGCTCCATTTTTCGGGATTTTAACACAAGTGTCTCTATTTTGATTCTGACAACTTTTTCAAGGAATATGTTCTGGATATCTGGCTTGTGATCTACAGGGACAGCAATCTGAATTCCTCATTCTGGGATTGGGCTCTATGTGGCGCTGGGACTAGTCTCAGGAGTTGGTATGAGTGAGATACATCTGTAGAATCTATCAGGAGAGGCTCAACGTGCTTGGCCTCACTATTCTCTTCTTCAGCTAGCAACATCTTTACTTTTCTGTTTCCCAGTTTTCCCACTGATATAATAGCCAAAGCTGTCTTTGTTTCTTTTAACTTCTCTAGGAGGTTGGTGACATATGAGAGAAAGGAAGATTTGCCCTCTAAGTAAGGCAACTCTTATTAGTAGCAACCCTTCTGCCTGACAGTGTGTGGAGGGGCTACATATTGTGTCACTTTTTTTCTTCTTCAACAGACTCTTTGAAATAATTAGGACAGACATTACTATTGCCTCCTTGCAGACATGCAAACTGAGCCCAGTGTTCTGGTGGAAAGATGGATAGTAGAAAATAAGTCTAACTCCTGTTCAGGTGCTCATTGATTTAATAGGAGCACAGGAGAGCCCGTTTACTGGGGTTGGGGGTGGGGGATCTCTACTACTTTATGTTCGCTTTTTTTATTTTTTGAGACAGAGTCTGGCTCTGTTGCTCTGGCTAGAGTGCCCTCGCGTCAGCCTAGCTCACAGCAACTTCAAACTCCTGGGCTCAAGCGATCCTCCTGCCTCAGCCTCCCTAGTAGCTGGGACTACAGGCGTGCACCACCACGCTTGGCTAATTTTTTTCTTTTTTTTTCAGTAGAGACGGGGCCTCTCTCTTCCTCAGGCTGGTCTCAAACTCCTGACCTCAAGCGATCCTCTCGCCTCGGCCTCCCAGAGTGCTAGGATTACAGGCATGAGCCACTGAGCCCTGCCTCTGTTGTTTATTAAAGGCCCAATGGATTATTGATGATCACTGTATTATTCTCCTGATGTCAATCACACTACTAAAAAATAATGATCAATAAATTACCTCAGATAATTCAGATCACAGTAAATACTATGAATGGTCCTTCACCACCCTGGAAGAAATTGTCCTTATATCTAAATTCAGGGGTCCTTTTAACCTCTTAGGGGCACCCGTCAACCATCTTAAACTACACCTCCCATCGTGCAACGGGAAACGCGCATAACTCCCGCTTGAGCTGACGGGAACTCGAACCAATCCAATGCCAGATCTCTCACTCAGCCACCTATTGGCTCCGGGTAGAGGCGGGACTCCCAGTTGCTATGTTGGTACTCTTTCCGGAAGTGGTTGTTGGCCGCTGCAGGGCAACACCCCGGCGTCCCTGGAAGCGGGGAGCCGGGGTGGGGCTGGGGAAGCTGCGCAGACCCCGGAGCGGTCGTCCAGAACCTGCAGGGGTAGGGGACAGGTGAGTACCTCCTCGAGGGGGGCGTTGGGTGGCGGGGAAAAGGGGGGTTGCGGGGGAGCTGAGGCACAGTCGTGTGCCAACGAGCGGGATGTGCACGAGTGTGGAGCGGGAACTGAGGGAAGAAGTGGAAGAGGAGCGGCCACATGCGGGTGCCTCTGCTCACAATCTCACCTCGCCCCGCTCCTGAATGCGCGGCGGGGGCGCTGGGCTGGGGACCTGGCGGGCGGGTGCCCGGCGAGCCGGGGCGCGAATGCTAGGGGCACTGGGCACCGTGTGAACTCGCTGGGGCGCCCGTTTACTTGTCCTGTTCATAGTTAGCGTGTGAGGCCCGGCCTTCTGAACCCTGCTTGAATATTCTCTTGTGGGAAGCCTCCCCCATGTCCGAATCTGGGGCTAGCCCAACCTTATGCCATCGTTTGGTGAGCTGGGAAGTTGGGAAGTTTTTTGTTTTTTCATTTTCTCGCTTTGGTTAAAACAGTCTCCCTCTCTGTCTGGAACCGCTCTCTTCACTTGGCTTCTACTTCCTCTCTCCTGGTGCTCCTAATTCAGCCCTTTGCAGGCCCCTCCTTTCTGCTCACCGCGCTCCATCTCTGGGTGATTCCACCCCAAATTTCAGTTACCATCTATTCAGCGGTGACTCCCAAAATACTCTTCAGCCAGACCTCTTTCCTAGCTCAGAGCTGCTTACCGTCATTTCCGCCCTTCCTTGCTCCCTGGGATCTGTTCCTCCTCTTGTATGTCCTGTCTCAGTGAAAGACTTCACCAGTCACTCAGTCAGCCAGGTCTACGCCTGGAATTCATTAATCTACTATATGCAGCAAACATTTTGTCAGAGTGGGGAACTTGCAGCCTTGGGGCCACATGTGGCCTTCTGGATTCTTGAGTGCGGCCTTTTGAATCTAAATTTTACAGAATGAATCCTTTTATTAAAAGGGGTGCAGCAGAAAAAGATGAAGCTTTTCTTGCCTCCTTTGGTGCTTAAAAAAGAACAATCTTGAATCAGAAGGCCACAGGTTCCCCACCCTGTAAGGTGGGGCTGCCTATTCGGCAGGGCATAGAAGTGAATAGATAATCACAATATTCTGGCTTAAGTGCTCTGATTTCCCTCCTGTTTCCACCTCACTTGTTATGTACATGGAGTCCTGTTATGCCTCCTAATTCCCCCAGAATCTGGCCCTTCCCTTTTATTTTCACAGCCACTGACTTAGTTCATAATTTCTGGCCTGTGCTTTCCGGATAACTTCCTAAGTGGTCTCTCTGCCTCAGTTCTTGCCCTTCTCTTATTAGTTCTTAATGCAGCTGTCTGAGTCATCTTTTTTTCCTATTAATTAATTAATTAGAGACAGGGTCTCACTGTGTTGTCCAGGCTGGAGTGCAGTGGCTATTCACTGCAGTCTTGAACTTCTGGCCTCAAGCAATCCTCCTGCCTCTGCCTCCTGAGTATCTGGGACTACAGTGCTTGCCACTGTGCCCAGCTAGAATCATCTTTCTAAACTACAAATCTAATCATGCCGGTCTCCCTTGTGAAATCCTGTGATGGCCTCTCATCATGTACAGGATAGAGCCTCATTCCTTCCAGGCCCTTTATAATATGTTCTTGCCTTCCATTCTAGAGCTCTCTCCTGCTGCTCCTCCCACTGTCCCTTGTGCTTTCATCATGTCAGAGTGGGTAAGAGCTCCGGCTTTAGAGTCAGATGGATATGGATGCGTGCATATTCTACTGTGCCATTTACTAGCTATGAAACCTTGGGCAAGTTTTTTTTTTTTATTTTTTAACCTTGCTAAGCCTCAGTTTCCTTATTTGAAAAATGAGAGTAATAATTTCTACCTAACTGAGAGGGTGAGGCGAGATGATGTATATAAGCACTTAGTACAGTTCCTGGCACTTAAGAAGTATTCAGTGACTATAAGCCTTTATTGTCATAATTAATTCTCTGCACCCACCATACACTTTCCTGCCTCTTTGGCCTCCCAGCTAGGCTGAGCTCGAGTTCAGGGCCATGTGTAATCAGGTGTGTAGCCCTAACACATAGCACAGTGCCTGACCCATTATAGGTGTTCAATAGGTGATTATTGAATATTTGAATGGCCTTGTATTTCCTGGTGCTGGATCTGTCCACTGGAGCAATAAGCCCTTTTAATATGTGAATAAGCCCTTTAAATATGTGAATAGTAATAATAATATATAATAGTAATGTTTAACATTTATTGAGCTCTTACTATGTTT